GATGGGGTCTCCCTCTGTGCCCAGGCTGGAGTGTACTGTGTGACCATAGCATACCATGACCTGGAACTCTTGGCCTCAAGTGATCCTCTTGCCTGAGCCTTCGGAGTAGCTGGCACTACAGGCATGCACCACCACGCCCTGCACAGAGCCTCCTGAGAGCCAAAATATTGAAGCTAAAGTCCAGCTTAAGACTGGAATGCCCAAATAGATTTAGTTTCTAGAGTTGCCCTGTTATTTTTCCTTGTTTCTCTGCCCATTTTCCTTTTCCTTTTGCAAATGTTAAATCCTATACCAAAGTTGAAAGAACTTACGGTGAATTCTACTGTGTTTTGCCAATTGTTAACATTTTGCTATATTTGATCTCTTTTTATATTTATTTCGGGGCTGAACCATTTGAAAGTAAGTGCAAAAGCCCCTTTTTGGTTTTGTTTTATATATTATAAAATTCGCCCATTTAAGTATATAATTTAATGACTTTTAGGAAATTTAGTGGCTTATACGACCATCGCCATAATCCTGTTTTAGAACATTTTTGTCACCCTCATACCACATTTTAAAAGTTACCCAAATCATACATGTTGACTTTAGAAAAAGAAAATACAGAGAAACAAAGAAAACAAAAATCTCCTCTAATCCTGCCACCCAGAAATAAGTTTTTTTTTTTCCTATTTTTTCTTTTCTTTTTTTTTTTTTTTTTGGAGACAGTCTCACTCTGTCACCCAGGCTGGAATACTGTGGCACAGTCTCAGCTCACTGCAACCGCTACCTCCTGGGTTCAGGTGAGTCTTGTTGTGCCTTACCCTCCCAAGTAGCTAGGACTACAGGTGTGTGCCACTATGCCTAATTTTTAAATTTTTATTAGAGATGACATTTTACCATGTTGGCCAGGCTAATCTCGAACTCCTGGCCACAAGTGATCTGCCTGCCTTTGCTGCCCAAAGTGCTGGGATTATGGATGTGAGTGACCATGCCCTGCCAGAAATAAATATTATTAATGTAATAGGCAGAATATTCAGCCCTCCAAAGTATCTATGTTCTAATCCCCAGAACCTGTGAGTATTTTATCTTATTTTGTTTATTTTGTTTTGAGACAAAGTCTTTTTTTTTTTTTTTTTTTTGAGACGGAGTTTCGCTCTTATTACCCAGGCTGGAGTGCAATGGCGCGATCTCGGCTCACCGCAACCTCCGCCTCCCGGGTTCAGGCAATTCTCCTGCCTCAGCCTCCTGAGTAGCTGGGATTACAGGCACGTGCCACCATGCCCAGCTAATTTTTTGTATTTTTAGTAGAGACGGGGTTTCACCATGTTGACCAGGATGGTCTCGATCTCTTGACCTCGTGATCCACCCGCCTCGGCCTCCCAAAGTGCTGGGATTACAGGCTTGAGCCACCGCGCCCGGCGAGACAAAGTCTTGCTCTGTTGCCCAGGTGCAGTACAGTGATAAGACCCTAACTCACTGCAGCCTCCTGGGTTAAAGTGATCCTCCTGCATCAGCCTCCTGAGTAGCTGGGACTTCGTGTGTGTGCTACCATGCACGGCTAAAACTGTTGCTGTTGTCTTTTCTTGTAAAGACAGACATGGTCTTGTTATGTTTCCTAGGCTTGTCTGGAGCTCCTGGGCTCAAGCAGTCCTCCCACTTTGGCCTTCCAAAGCGTTGGGATGCAGGTGTGAGCCACCATACTTAGCCTCCTGTTACCTTATTAAAAGGGACTTTACAGGTTTGATTAAGGATCTTGAGATAGGGATAGTACCCTGGATTATCCAGGCAGACTCAAAATACTTACAGCAGTCCTTGTAAAAGGGAGGCAGGTGGTCAGACTGGGGGAAAAGTGCTAAACTGCTGACTTAGAAGATAGAGGAAGAGGATCCTGTCAGGGAATGAATGTAGCCCTGAGGGGCTGGAAGAAGCAGGAAACACATTCTCCCCCGCAGCCTCCAAAAGGAACACATCCTTAACAATACCTTGAATTTATGCTTCTGCCTTCCAGAATTAGGGGACTCAGTTTGCATTGTTGCACTTTTTTTTGTTGTTGTTTGTTTGTTTGCTTTTGAGACGGAGTCTCGCTCTGTCACCAGGCTGGAGTGCAGTGGTGTGATCTCAGCTCACTGCGCCCTCCACCTCCCAGTTTCAAGCGATTCTTTTGCCTCAGCCTCCTGAGTAGCTGGGACTACAGGTGCCCACCACCACACTGGCTAATTTTTTGTATTTTAATAGAGACGGGATTTTACCACGTTGGCCAGGACCATCTCAAAACTCCTGACCTTGAGATCCACCCGCCTCCGCCTCCCAAAGTGCTAGGATTACAGGCGTGAGCCACCCTGCCCAGCCAGTTTGCATTGTTTTAAACCAACAAGTTTGTGGTAATTTGCTGCAGCAACAGTAGGAAAGAAATGCAGCCATGAAGTGAACATCCGTCTATACCTTTGAGTGAATGTATAGATTTAAACAAATGCCCGCCTACCCTAATCAATATGGACAATCGGAATTGTCTATGCATATTACTTTGTGATTTCTCTCTTCACCCAATTTGTGGTGAACAACAGATACATTGTGAACAACTTTCTATGCTATGTATTTTAATGGCTGCTCACTTGCTTAGGAATAGTTGATGCAGTACTGATTTTATTTGTGTGTCCTTTTGCTGATGGAAATCTGGTGGCCTTGCTGGCTGTACATTTATTTTGTTAGTTCTGTTCTGTTTTCTGTTGATATATCATATGGATCTTGAAAGTTTTCCCAGTAGCATTCATCCCAGATGATCTAAGAAACGTCAAGTTGGTTGGAAAGTAGGTTGTACCATGGAGAAATTTTTTTCTCCCTGACTTAAATTTCTGATTGATTAAACCAGAACAGATCACAGCTTAAGATCCATTCGACAGGCCTTTCTTCAGACATCCTGCTTGTCTAGTGTCTTGATGCTCTATTGTTTTTTATCGTGTAGGTTTCTACTTCTAGTCAAATATAAACAGAAACAGATAAATACTTTCCGAGTGCTCTTGTTTCATTTTGGCCTGAAGACTAATCTTTCCTTGCTTTAAAAAGAATGCATTGATAGAAAACATTTGCTTAAATTATTTTTTTTCCTCTTGGCTTTCTATCAAGTATGAGACAGAGCTCTGCAAAGAATTACATAAGCCTCTGGGAAGCAACCAAAGGCTTATAAATTTTCTGGACAGTGAGACTGCTTCATCCTGAATCACGTTGCTTGCTGTGGGAGGAGGGCACCCTAAGCAACTCTGAGCATAAACCCCAAGTGCTCTTGAGTGGGGTCCGCCTCTGTCCTCTCCTGATCAGCACCCTTGGCCTCTTTGTGGGGGTTGCATAGGAGCTCATGCTGATCCCTGAGGGGCTGACCTGAGAGGGGTCAGGATGCAGAAGCTGTCTACTTAGTGGCTTCTTCACTGCATGCCACAGGCCAGCCATATTGTGAATGTTTGGCAAATGTTTGTGGAAGGAATGAATTGTGGGCTATCCATGTGCTCTCAGCCTCTACCAGCATTTCATTCTGTCACAGCCATTTTCCCCTGCAGGATTGGTGGAGGGAAAGAGGTAGGCCTCCTGGGAGAGGTTCTGGATTTTTCTGCTGTCTGCTTTGTTCCATGGGTCAGCCCTGAAATTAGGGCACTTGGATGGGTTTATAGCCTTAAAGCGGGGAATGGATTGTGCCTGCGAGGTTGTGTAAGCCGCTCCGTCAGTGGCTGTTTCCCAACTTCCAGATTACCTTTTGAGCACCCTTTTAGGACAGAGAGGAAAGTTAATAAATTACATTTTGCCCACTGTGTGTCTGGGTCTTCTTGTACATGAACTTATCCAAACCTGGAAACAGTCTTTTGAGGCAGTATCATCCTCATTGTTTAGAAAGATAATGAGGCCCAGAGAGTTCCACTCATTTGTCCAAGGACACAATAGCTAACTCATGATGGAGCTGGAACTGGACCCAGGGCTCTCCAACCTGTATGTGTCCTAGACAGACAGAAAGAATGAGTCCCCATTAGGTAATGACGTGTTGAAACCCACATGTGGAGAACCGAGAGCTCAAACCGAGTCCCAGAGCTCTTAGAGGAAACATACCCCGCTCAGAGGAAACCCACTCCCCTCAGAAGAAACGTACCCCCCTCAGAGGAAACCCACTCCATCAGAGGAAACCCACTCCATCAAAGGAAACCCAGCCCCTCAGAGGAAACCCACCTCCAGCAGGAGCTGCAGAGTTTCTTGGGTGGGCTATCATAGACTGCTTTATGTTTTTGTCATCTGTGTCTCTTCTGGGGGAGGCATTCTCATGCTGAGAATGGAGTGATGACTTATGCATTGGTTAAGGGTTTATTCAGAGAGGAGGCTGGTGTTGGGGCCATGATGAAATGTTGGACTGTTTTTGCCCATTTGCTGATCGGCACTCATTTCTACACTTAATCTACAAACGGCTTAGTGGAAGTCAGAGCAAGATAGAGGGATAGAGGTTTGAGGCCTTGGTGCTGCTTGGGGCAGGTAGGGTCTATGGTTCAAGGTCTGGTCTTTGTTTTTGCGGGCCTAGAAACTCCATCTATGCGTCCATCAAAGATTCATTGAGTTTCTTCATGACCAGGCCCTGCTCAAGGTATTAGGGATTCAGCAGAGAAAAACACAAACAAAACTTCCTGCCCACATGGAGAGTGTTTCCTTGTCGACGCCCTCAGTAATGTGTGTGCCTCAGAGGTAACCAGGCACCTGGTAGACTGACTCATGTTAACTTCCTAGAAGCTAATATACCCACTTGATGCTAAATAGTTACTTGACTGGGTGTGAATCGACCTCTACACCGGTTGGAATTCTTGTGCCTGGAATCCTTGGGGCCTGAGAGGCTGAGTTCCTCTGACTGCTGACATCAGATCCCAGGGATGTGGGTGGTTCCAGATGCATTCCTTTTTGCCCTGGAGAAGGCCCTGCACCTGAAGGTGATTCAGGGAAGATTATATTTGCATGGACAAAATTTAGTGACTGCCTAGCTCTGTGTTAGAAGTTTGTAAAATTGTGGTAAAATATATTTAACGTCTTTACCATTTTAAGTGTACAGTTTAGTGACATCAAATATATTCACAATGTTGTATAACCATCACTACCATCTATACTGAAAACTCTTTTATCCTCCCCAACGTAAACTCTGAACCCACTACACAGTAACTCCCAATTCCTCCCTCCTTTCAACCTCTGGCAAACACCTTTCTTTCTGTCTCTACCAATTTGCCTATTCTAGGTGCCTCACTTAAGTAGAATCATACAATATTTCTCTTTCTGTGTCTAGTTTATTTTACTTAGCATAATGTTTTCAAGGTCTATTTATATTTTAGCATTTATTAAAATTTTAAGTTGGGTGTGATGGCTCACGTCTGTAATCTCAGCACTTTGGAAGGCTGAGGCGGGCGGATCATGAGGTCAGGAGTTTGAGACCAGGCTGGCCAACATGGTGAAACCCTGTTTCTACTAAAAACACAAAAGTGGGCCGGGCCCGGTGGCTCACGCCTGTAATCCCAGCACTTTGGGAGGCTGAGGCAGGCAGATCACGAGGTCAAGAGTTCGATACCAGCCTGGCCAACATGGTGAAACCCTGTCTCTACTAAAAATACAAAAATTAGCTGGGTGTGTTGGCATATGCCTGTAATCCTAGCTACTCAGGAGGCTGAGGCAGGAGAATTGCTTGAACTTGGAGGCGGATGTTGCAGTGAGCCAAGATTGTGCCACTGCACTTCAGCCTGGACAACAGAGCAAGACTCTCTTTCAAAAAACAAACAAACAAACAAACAAAAAAACCACAAAAAAACCCCCACAAAAATTAGCCAGGTGTGGTCGTACATATCTGTAATCCCGGCTGAGGCAGGAGAATCACTTGAACCTGGGAGATGGAGGTTGCAATAAGCCAAGATCGCACCACTGCACTTTAGCCAGAGTGACAGAGTGAGACTCCGTCTCCCCCCTAAAAAAAAATTCCTCTTTTCTGGCTAACAAATTTCATTCCATTTTATTGCTGAATGAATATTCCATTGGATGTATATACTATATTTTGTTGATCGGTTCATCTGGTGATGAACACTTGGGCTGTTTCTACTTTTTGTCTATTGTGAATAATTCTTAATGCTCCTGTGAATATCAGTATACAAATATCTGTTCACATCTCCACTTTCAATTCTTTTGTATATATGCCCGAGAGATATTTTTCTTTAATGTTTTATTGAAATTTAATTCACATACTATAAAATTAATCATGTTAAAGTTTATAATTTAGTTGTTTTTAGTATATTTACCAGGTAACTCAACCATTACCTCTATCTAATTCCAGCACATTTTCATCCCTCTAAAAAGTAACCTATAATCATTAGCGGTCACTCTCTGTACCCTTTCCCCATCAACCTCCTCCCCCCGCGCTGGCAACTGGTAGTCTATTTCTTGTCTTTATGGATCTACTTATGCTGGAAATTTCCATAACCCTAGAACCCTGTAGTAAGTGGCCTTTTGTGTCTGGCTTTTTTCACTTAGCATCATGTTTTCAAGATCATTCCCAGATGATTTTCATGGGTTGCCAAGGTTGAGAAACCATAGATCTGCCTCTGCAGACACCCACCCTGTCCACGTGTGTTAGCTTCCCACGTACAGCCATCCACAGTTCTGGCTCTGAGCAGCCTTCTGGCCAATGGCAGGCTGTACTTCCTGGTTCCCATGAGAAGGAGCCTGCACCCCACTCCACCTGTACCAGCAGCCCGTGTTATGAGTGAGTAGCAGCCACCCGTGTTCTGCTATAAAGCACTTCTCAAATTGATACCTTTAACTTTGGCCAGCCCCAAAATTTGTAGCTCAGTTTTCTCAGGATTTTAATGAGAATTACACAATACATGTTTAACTTAGAAGAGTGCCTGGTACTCAGTAAACGCCTATTAAATGTGAGTGTGAGTGTGTGTTTCTATTAGAGACAGAACCAATCAAGAAACATAGAAAAGTACGTGTGGGGACGGGAGGTGAGGAGGGGCTGTTGGTGTTTGTGTGACTCTGTCTGAATTTTGTCATTAGCTATGTTACTCTCTTGTCTGAGTTCTTCCTTTTCTCTTCTTTTTTTTTCTTTCTTCCCCCTCCCCTCCCTTCCCCACCGCTTCCTCGCTCCCCTCTCCTCTTTTTCTTTTCTTTGGATGGCGTCTCACTCTGTTGGCCAGGCTGGTACAGTGGTGCAATCCTAGCTCACACTAGCCTTGACCTCCTGCCTCAGCCTCCCGAGCATCTGGGACTACAAGTGCTCACCACCACTCTTGGCTAATTTTTTCTGTAGAGACATTTGGCTATTTTGCCCAGGCTGGTCTCGAACCCCTGGCCTCAATGATCCTCCCACCTCAGCATCCCAGAGTTGAGATAATAGGCACGAGCCACCACCATACCCAACCTGAGTTGCTTTTCTTATATGTAAAGTGCTGACGATAATATATGTCCTTAACATGATTTAAAAATATTTTACATTTAAACTTCTCTGAAATGATTTGGGCTGGGGGATGTTTTACAAATGATGCATGTGTTTAAGTGTCCCCCACGGCCCTGAGAAGCTGTCGTTAGATTCCTGGGTTTATGGCCATGCCTAACCCATAAGGTTGCTGCAAGGACTTAAAGGAAAAATGTATGTGAAAAATACTTTGGCAAACTGTAAAACATTTAGATGTGAGCTACTGTCTCCAAAAGTGGAAATAATAGAAAAGTTAATTAATAATTTAGTACAGAACAAATAGAATGTATTCCAAAAGCGTTTTGTGACTGTGTATGATCATGAGGGAACAATTTTGGGGTAGAGGTGTCTTTTCTTTTTCTTTTTTTTTTTTTTTTTT